GGGGTCTGCAACCCGGGCTCGTGCCCATGCCTAACAAAAATTCAGGCATAGGCATGGGCATGAAAGCTTTGGCATGGGTATGGACACTGGTACAAAAATTTGGCATAGGCATAGGCACAGGCACAAAAATTTGGCATAAGCATGGGCACAGATACAAAAACTTGGCATGGACATGGGAATGAGCACAAAAAATTTAATATTTATTAATAAATTGTGTCTGGCACCTTGTCTGGCATCTTTTTGGCATCTTTTTGCCTGGCATTTGTGCCCATGTCCATAAAATGCCTGGCATTTGTGCCTATACCTATAAATATACCTGGCATTTGTGCCCATGCCTATAATAATTCCTGGTACTTTTGTGCTATAGGCATGGGCATGGCATAAGGCACTAATGCCTGGCATAGTGCCAATATGCCTGGTCATTTGCAGAGCCCTAATGTATCACCTACTATTCAAATAATGAACTCACTCACTATTGAAATTGCAAACCTACACTAAATTGTAAACCTACCCATAATTAAATCACGAACCTACTCAATGTTAAAATCATGAAATTGTATCCAATGCCGAAATCACAACCCACCACTGCTGAACTCATTATTGAAATGATTTTCAAATTAATCAAACCGTCTACTCATTGGAATTAGAACTATTTCGACTCGATAAGCCTATTGTGATTTAGTAATGTGTAAAGATTTAATTAAACTAATAAAAACACAACAAAAATAGTTGCAAAACACTTTTATTAAACCTATTGTAGATTATATATTGGTATATTGTAAGTAGAAATGGCATTAGATGAATTTAAATTTTTTTTAAATTTTAGAGTTAGATAAAATTGAAATATTATAAACCAGATCTTTTGTTTATAATACGTAAAGCAAAATGTTGAACCTATTGGGTAATATTTTTGTCGGTGTAAAACTTCATTTCTCATAGTATTACATGGCTCTATTATTATTAATCTATACTGCATGTCTGTGCTAAAATGATCTAGTTTTTTGCTTATAAAGTTGGAAACCTCAGTTTTAGGTTACGAGTTAACTTCCCGAAATCAATTTTACTGAAATACCATTTCACCGAAGTCACAATACTGACGTCCCATTTTACTAACAAGACATAATTTCGTAAATTCCATTTTATCGAAAGTTCATTTAAATTTTACCGATAAGTCATTTATCTGCAATTTTCATTTCACCGAATATTAAAAAATGAATGTCTATTTTACTGACATGCTATTTTGCCGAATGGTACATTTTTCTGACATTCTATTTCTTCGAAAATATCTTACTGAAAGCTCTTTTACCGAAGGATGTTTTACCGAATTTACAGCTATTATTAAACCAAAATGGTTCTACCACAAAATCTGAAAGTCGCTTTCCCGAAAGAACATAATACCTACTGACTAATTTGGCCAGCATTATAACTAATGCTGGATGCCGGCTAACTTTGTAGGTATTAGATATTTTCGGGAATCTGTTTTTCTGGATTTTGTAGGGTTCTACCACAAAATCCTGAAAACCATTTTCTCGAAAGAACATAATATCGACTAAAATGGCCAATATTATAACTAATGCTGGCTAACTTTGTCGGTGTTAGGTCCTTTTGGGAATCCGTCTTTCTGGATTTTGTGGTAAAACCATCCAAAAAAGGTATATTGGGTGGAGTCAATAGAAATGGGACAAATTTATTAGATAAATTTGTCCCATTTCTATTGACTTCACCCCATATAGTGATTCTTATATTGTCTTTTAAGTTAACCGGAAAAGTTAATATCAAATAGCATTAAGGGAAAATTGCATAAAGAATTATGCAATTTTGTTAAATCGAGAGATACCTTGTTGAGATTTCTTTTCGAGGAAACAGCTTTTCGGGGGGGAATAATCTTTTTGGAGAATTAATTTTTTCGGAGAAACATCCTTTTAGGGAAATATATCATATAATATTTTTCGGTGAAAAGGTTTCGAAAAAAGTTCTTGTCGGAGAAACAGGAGTTCGAAGAAAGGTTTTGTCGGTGAAAAAGTTTGTCGAATAAATTTTTTTCAGAAGTTCAGGTTGTCGGGAGTTGGCTGTGTCAGGAAAAAAAATTCGGTAAAAAATTTTTTTCAGTGAAATGTACTGTCAGAAATATGTCTTGTCAGAAAAAATGGATGTCAGTATTATGGGATCGGGGAAATAGTATTTCGGGAAGGCGGGTTTCGGGAAAGTAAGAATTAACGTCAGTGGTTATGCGATGTGAATTGAATTAAACATGAATGAATTCCTAATTTAATTTTTATATAATGTCAATATTAATATATAAAACCTTGGCGCAATGTTTTGTTAAGAGTAATTTTTAATACTATATTACTGTATTAGCAAAAGCTCCCTTTTATGAGTACGTATAAGGCCACTCAAAGTTAATTTTTCGTTTTACATTACATGGAATCTGAAAATTGGGTCGGTCGAATTTTTTTTAAAATTATATTCATATTTTAAGGCTATGCAAAGTTATTCCTTTTTTTGCATAACAAGGAATTAGAAAATTGGGTTGGCAGTCGTTTTTTCTGTCGGTCCTATCGGATAATTCCGGGACGTCGAGGTCTCGCCGGGTGATACCGGATAAAATGGTAGAAAGGAATAAATAGCAAAAATTGAATAATTGGCACAATTGGAATGTAAAAAAAAAAATTTAGAAAAATTGAAAAATGAATCGTCGGGTAATGTAAAACGAAAAATTAACTTTGCGTGGCCTAAACTTAAACTAGGAAAATGCATAGCATTATGTGATTATATTATTACACAAATTACCAACCTTTTGTCTGTCCGCCCATGTGACCAAATTACATTTCTGATGTGATCTTTATGTTGTTATGTAGATGCATCAAAAAAGTAACTATGATGCATCAAAAACGTAACTTTTATATCACTTTGCATAGAAACTAAGGGTCCATCGCTACGCTCTGGACAATTATGCAAATCGCAAAATTTATATGCTATAAGGTAAATTATGCCGATATTATGCGGGATAATAATCCTAGACACCCTAAACTCGACTACAACTCATTTTGTGAGTACAAGAATACGCTATTCAGGTTATGAATATTCCATTACACTATCGCTATATACTTGTAATTATTATTCTCTAATAAAAAGATACAGTATTCCACACTTAATTTACCGTGTAAATTGTGACCTTAACGTCGACCTTTTTACATAATCATACTAAGTGAACCATTTTCTTAATGCCATGCATGAAATGTAAAAAAAATTTTTTTGTGAGTTATAAATGATATTTTAAAAGATTCCATTTCCTTGATCTTTTCCTAGTTTATATCATTTAAAGAATTACGCCTAATTAATACATTTGTGTACACGAAAGTTTGCAATAGGGCATGCGGCATATAGTCGGTAGCTCTCCCACAAAATATCCCCCTCGTGATTTTTATCCAATTGAGATGTTAGGGGTTAGTGTTTAGATCACGTTAGGGGGGATTTATTTATTAATGTTTTTGTGGGAGATCTACGGGCGCATACCATTGTCACGTGAATATAAAGGCAAGGGCCAATAAAATTGCTAATGTAAGTCTCATATGACACTAGTTTTAAATTATATTCGGATGCTATCATTATATAGAGACATGTTTAAGGTACAATAAGGCCAGACCAATTTGATTCTTCGTTTAACATGACCCCCTCCCGCCTATTTTTAAAATTTATACGAACCCAATACACATTAATAGTAATTAATAGTATTTGCCTCCCTCAATTTTTTAAATTTTATATAACTAACTTATATAAAATCAACCAATAAAATTGCAGTATTGATATTTTTGTGTTTTTTTCCAATGCCCCACCCCCTTCTTACAGTTATTTTGTGTTATGTTAAACGAAGAATCAAGTTGGTCTGGCCTAAGAGGGGGCATGCCTTGGGCTGAGGTATGCCCTCTCAGGCACGCCCAAAAAATTTCCCGTATTACTTAATCTGATCTACAAAATTTTTCTATTTTCATTTTGCGATACTCGCTTCAGATGAATCAATTGAATCTTTATCGTTATAAAAAGCTTAATGTTAACTTACAAAATTTACTCAAATTGTGATTCAAAATCGGATAACTTGCGGAAATGTTTGTAATGCAAAGAAAATACCCTTAGCAGATTTAGCCTTTGATGAATATTTAGAGGCTGAATCTATAATCTGATAAATTCCAAATTCTTCCTTGGCGTCATTCAAGAATAATATAAAGTTTTAGATCTTTGTGTAATTCTTTACTAACCATACATATACATACAAAAAAAATCTTACATTATAGAATTATAAATTATAAATGAAGCATTGGTGACAATTGCTTGTCATGTTAAAAACCAATCAAATTACGCATTTTCATAAACTTTAATTGTTAAACCGTGATATAGTTCCACTTAATTTTGCTGATATAGTACTTATTCTCCTGGAACAGCAGAAATAGTGAGATATCCCTAGTAGCATATATGGGCGCTTTGCGCTCATACATGCACCGTTGGGGAAATTTTTCCGAAACGATGAAATAAACGCGTTTAGTTATTGTTCATATGACTCCATGAAGGAGACTCGTATTATTAATAATTTTTATCAAATTCTTCGTCTTTGTTTTTGTTTGATTCATTTACATTTGAAAATTTTTGGATAAATAACTAATAAAAAGAATAAAAAAAGTTTGTGAGATGACATCACGTAACATGCAAAACCCTGCAGTGAAACAGCAAGTAGTCTTGTGTAATTTTATGCAATCTAAAATGTTGATAATCTGATAGTTTTTGATATCGGTATAGCTTATTGATTTACATACAATATATATATATATATATATGAGTGCGTGAGAGTGAAAACCTGGAGCTGCATATAATGATTTACTATGAT